CAAACTGAAGCACTATTCTGAGTGGTTAGCAAGCAGTTGAAACCAAACCAAACAAACAATAACACTAAATGACAACATAAATAGCAACAACATAGCATAAAAACATAAACACCAGCAGCACTAAAAGAGGTTTTTATAATAGAGCAGAACAGGAGTTAAGCCATTCATCTGGGGTTAAAGTGAACAGCCTCCCTGAAAAGTAACGTTTTCAGCTGCCCCTAAATGAGTACAGGGAGAAGGCCTGGCAGAGGTCCTCTTGTATCTGATTCCACAACTTTAGGGCCACCGTAGAGAAGGCCCTACCTCTAGTAGGTGACTTTCCAGCCTCTCTCAGGTTGGCTACATGGAGGAGGCCTAAGAAGATCTATTGGGTCAGACAGATGACATTGGGGAAAGATGCTTCAAAAGGTAACATGGGCACAAATCATGAAGGCTATATGATTAAATATACATGAGTGGTACATGAGTGTCAAAACGTTGAACCTGATCCAGGACACAATGGGTAACCAGTGGTGACTGACTAGAACTGGGGTGATGTGATCAAACTTGCTCATACTAGTCTGGTCACTGTGTTCTGCACTGATGTCGTCAGGCCCAAGGGCAGCCCCATGGAGAGAGTATTGCAGTAGTTGATCCAGGAGATAACCAGTACTTGCACCAACATCCCGAGGGAGCCCTCATCTAGGTAGGGGCAGAGTTGGGCAATAAGCCTAAACTGATTAACAGCTGATCCGGACATAGCTGCAATCTGGGAATCCCAAGAAAGAGTCGGGTTCAGAATAACACCCAAATTACAAAATGGGAGGGCAATATCATCCAGTCTAGGATTGATCCCCCAAACCTTTTGGAGGGCCCCCCAAGAAAAAAAAATCCCAGGTTTGTCCAGATTCATTTTAGATCTGTTTGCTCTGGTCCATTTTAGTACTGAAGTCAGGCATCAAACAAGCATCTGAATGGCCTCTACTGCAGAGGTGGTGAAGGAAATATAAAGCAAAGTTAAAAGAGCTTAAACCACTTTCCAGGTGGTTTACAAGTTAATTATGTAGGCTACACATTGCCCCCCCCCCCAGCGAGCTGGGTACTAATTTTACCAACCTTGAGCCAGCTACCTGGGATTGAACCCTGGGTTATGAGCACAGGTTTGGCTGCAATACAGCAGTTTAACCACTGCACCACAAGGCTCCTTAGAGTTGTGTGTCATCAGCATACTGATGGTACTGAATCAATCCAGCTCATGTTCAATCTTCCACTCCTCCTACTGCTTCCACTTTTTTCATCTGGATTCATTTTTCTGGCAAGTATCACCATATGGCCAAAATTATGACAGAATTGGTGTAGTCAGCTTCTACTGAGAGTGGAGGCTTTATTTGACCTAGTACCAAGTTATTTCTCTTTCTAACATCCTATACTATCTGTAAATCTCTCCCTTAATACCACACTTCTTTTTTGTTGCTGTTACTTTCCTTCACTGGTCCAGATTATAAATGAGAGACAAAGTTTCAGGATGTAGAAAATAGAATCTAGTTCTTTAGTCTGTATTCTTTAAATGGGTAGTTGAAAAGCTGTGGCTTAATGCATTTTGGTGAAGCCTTCTTCAAGAGCTAAGCATAATACAAAACCACGTGTTAGACATCAAATCATTCACATTTTCTTTTGAAAAAATATATATACTGTACACCAGTCCCAAGCTAGGTGTATTATGCTTAGCTCCTGAAGAAGGCTTTGCTGAAACGTGTTGAGCCAGAGCTTTTTAACTACCCATTTACAGAATACAGAATAAAGAACATGATTTATTTTATTTATTTATTTCGTAGATTTCTATCCCGCCCTTTTAGACAAAGTCTATTCCGGGCGGGTTCCATCAAACATTATAAGGTAAAACAGTTAAAAACAATTAAAAACAATTCTAAACAATAGTAATTAGTAATGCTTAGTAGTGCTCAAGATGGGAAAACAGAAAATTATAGTAAAAATATAAAAAAATGATTCTTTTGTCTACATCCTGAGACTTTATGTCTCATTTATAATCTGGACTTCCGTGGATGTACCAGTTCCTTTTGTTTTGTTTTCCTTTCCTTCATTGCCCAGCTTTCAAATTCATCCATACCTCCCACTACGCTCAACAAAAATACACTTGCCCATCCTTCTGCAACTAGGAAATAGCTATGGTAGAAGATGGCAGGAGTTACAGACACATTTGATGAGGCAGCAGGAACAAAAAATTAACTTTGTTAGTGATGTAAGGCAGATTCATTAATCAATCATCACTGCAGAATAGATGAGAACTATTGACTCCTATAGAGAAACCAAGTACAGTATGGGCTGTACAGCAAGGAGTAAAGCACAATTTATTTGTGTGCACGTGTGTGTGTTTGTGTATGTTTGCCTGATGGAGCACTTAAAAATTTGGAAAACCCACTTTTAAAATATCTCCAGCCATTCTTTTTAGAACTGCAGATGAGGGGAGCATGAGTTTACAAATAATTTCCCTGTGCAGGAAGGAAATTCAAATTTAAACCCTCAAAGAAAAACATATATATTAAGATTATATAGAAGATTCTTATGAAGCTAGCAAGTGTCTTTTTGACAACAGCAATATGCTTCTATTCTGTCTGGGTTTTTTCCCCCCTTATTATTTACCATGTTATTACCCAGTCTTTCCACAAAAAACAGGTCTCTAAGAATCAATATTAAAACTAGACTGAACAGCAAAAATGATTTGAGATATAATCATCAGCATAATTAATCAGCATCGCTGGACCATCAACACGTGCTGACAGAGTTTTTAATATTTTGGAGAAGCATACCTTTGTTTCCAAAATACTTCTAATAGCAACAAGGATGAAATTAGTCATGGAGCCCTCTGTGAATAAGGAGAAGTTTCAGAATGACCAGACAAGCTGAAGCAGAAAGATCTCTCTTCCAACTCACAAAGGCCCCCGCCACAACTGATAAAATTCATTGAAATGGGTTGCAGAACAGACACTGATCTGTCATTATGGCCATGTAGTCACATGATTCAATCCCACCCCAGATACATACCGTGCACAATGAGGAACACTGCTCACCCCAGATTTATGGGCTAAATATAGAGACCAGCTTACCGAGTTATAAACAGACACTCATCACCACCGGCAGCAAGATTACTTAGGGAATGATAATAAGCCATCTCTGAGTGTAGGGGAGCATCTCATTGACAAGGCAGACTGCTCTGGTAGTAGTTTTGTGGTTTCACTGCACACCAGACTCAAAGCACGATACTGCCTCATAAAGCAACGGAGGCTAGCTTTCACTGGGGCTAAACACCAACTAATAACTTGCAGTTTTAGAAAACACTAGCCATGCTAATCTGCTTGACAAGTAAGAACTGTTCACTTTTCCAAAAAGAAATATTTACATGTACACTCAAATAGATGCAACATATTAAGGGAAAGCATGGCATGTCAGAAGCAAACCATAAGAGCAAAAACTCTTGGACAATGTCTCTCTTGACATGGAACTGCTTCACATTCCCTCTAACCATATTTTTATCTCTTACTACTGTATTAAAAATGAAAATTGGGTGGGTGGGTGAGCAAATGGAAATGGAAACAAATTCAACCTCAAAATATTACTTTCCCCCACATATGTATCTTGACACTCATGTCTGAAATAGACACACAGAGCACTTGAATATTCACAAACTGTAATGGCAGTTCAGAACTATATATTAAACACATTTAATCTAAAAGCATTGTCATGTACATAAATGAAAACAAAGCAAAGTGCAAGCTACAAACCCACATTGCTACCTAACATCTTACAGGCATCAGCGGATATTTGAGACTTGCTAGACTAACCTGCTCAGTTGTTTTTTTAATCTATTATTGCCACTGTTGTGCACTAGTCCGATGAAGCAACAGGAAACACCAGCAAAACTTTTAACCCTTGGCCATAATTTAGATCATAGCAAAAACTGCCTCAGGGGAAGAAATATTTCCAAAAGGAGTAAGATGACTAATGTAAAATACCAAATGCATAGGCCTTGAGGCATTAAAGTCTGATCCTGACCATGCACATGATATGTCATTATTGCATCAGATGCTCTTGAAAAGCAATTAGCTACATAAGATGTTCTTTTTAAATTAAGGATCCAGCTCTCTAGCTGTCTGTGTCAGATCTCTCAGAAGCCAATACACATGTTGGGGTAGCATCTCCAATTAGAGGTGTGCAGAGGCACTTTGCTCTTTCCAGAAAATGTTTGGTGTGTCGGTGTTTTCTAACATCCAGATATGCATCACATTGCATTTCGAACACAAGTCCCACAAAACTGGCTTTCAGTAGCCAAACCCTCAGAATCAGATAGGTCCCAGTCATTCTAGGTACTCTACAGATTAACACATGTGCACCAAGTAACAAATCCTTCTCATAGTAAAATTACACAGTGGGCTAGTCATGGTAAGCCAGAATAATTGAAGAACAAGATTGTGTGAGTTAACAAGCATGCTGGTTCCTGTTACTTGATCTCTCCTGCTTGTTTCTTCCTACCACCTTGAGTGGGTAAGCAAAGTGTGCATGGTTTCTTTATCATTAGGTCCAAACTGGGACCCTTGGCTTGTTACTTTCCTAACAAGCTAAAATCATAAGACAAGGGCATGCTCTATGCTTGTGACTTTGGCTTGCCAGGAAGGGAATCACCCAAAGATCCTGGTTCAGATGCAATGCAATGCTAACCACAGAAAAAGCAGCCACCACAAGGAGACAATTGGTAATTAAGCACCCTCACACTCATGATGTTAGTGGGGGTGTCTCCAGTCAAACTGACAGGGTGCAGACACCACCATCCTAGTTCAATCACAAGATGCCTGTATCAGTGTAAGGGCAAGCAGATCCACATCACATCAACAGCACATTGCAACCATCTATATGGCACACAAGGACTGTTCTCTGTTGGAATAATAGATATTATTTTCTATGGGTATAGGTCTTAGAGCAAAAATGTCTGAATTTTGTTCACATACCTGATCGAACAGAACTTTCCAGTGCTGTATGAGAGGCAACGCATAAAGGAAACAAGAGGGAAAGGGGGGGAATAAGTGTAAGAACACAGAAATTCAATTCATTCCATTTAAACAGACAATAAATCAAATGGCAAATATAAAGAAGGGAACACTTGTGGTCTAATCTTCCCTCTGATGGTGGTCTACTCTGAAACACAGTGTGCTTTCTCAGAGGCACAGAGTACCCATAGCTCTTTAAAAGGGGCAGTCTTTGCCCCCATAGTGCTGCAGATGCCCCTATGGTTATATACACTTTTAATTTTTTGCATGTCACTCTATAGAACAAACATTTGCAACAAGGCCTGGTGACATTGCTGTTGTTTACAAGTCTTTTGACAAAACTACTCAAAATAAAAAGGCCATTCCAATGCAGAAGAAGCCTAGGAAGGACCGCAGACCCAATAGCACAGCAAAAGCTCTTGGATGCCTCATCCACCCATTCACTCCCAACCAAGAGCAGCATCTGAATATTGCAAGACGTCTGGGCAGACACTTAATATAGACTTTGCTGCTGTTCTAGAAATCAAAGTGTATGTGCACTAATTGTATTGTAATACTGTAATCAGAAATCTTATCATTTCAGTGCAATCGGATGCCTGTCCTTGTAAGCACCATTCTGCAATGTGGGGTTTAATGTTTGTCAGTTTGAATCTCTGGTCAGGTCCAGCATTTAAAAGAAATGTTTTTTTTAACCTTAGGAAGGTCAGTAGCTGTTATCAAATTTCCTACAGACCACCTGAATGGAGCTTGGGCCCGTCACACTCTGAAACCCCAACTCTATCTCATGTAAAGAACCACAATCCCTGCTAAATATGAAAAAGCACATGGAAATCCAAGATTCATTCTCACACTCCATCACAGATAGAACCTGACAATTATTGCATGAAACCTTTGACCTGTCACTGCAATTCTTTATGACTGGCAGTTGAATCCCCTTTCTAACCTGCATGGCACCTAAACTGCTCTCTCTGTCTCTCTCTCTCTCTCTCTCTTCATTTTCACATGGAATAAAATCATGAAAAAGACGTTATAAACAAACCAATAATGACATCTGGCTGCAAGGAGAACCAAAATAAGAATTAAACCAAGATGAGATGTCAAAAAACTCCAACATACCTCTTACTCTCAATGACCATCATATCTTACCAATCACACATCACTTTACATGCTAGACCCACCCTCTACAAGCTGCTTTAAAAGTCCAGAGTCTACATGTTAACTCTCTGGAATCCCACTGAAGCAATCAAGTCCTTTCCAGAGTGAATATTCATTTATATAAAACTCCCACGTATCACTACAAATCTGCCCAGTGATTTAATATTCCATCCCAGCTTTTTTTAAATGTGATTCCAGATGCTGCCAGACACAACAGCTACATTACATCCCTAGCAGCTGAACACCAGGCTGAAGAACCTTTCTTTGCAATAGTATGTCCTCTGCTTCTTTTTGTGAATATGCTGCCGCCGCCACCACCACCATCAAATGCCTTCCAAGCTGGTTCTCGACAAGCAATACTGCCTTGTCAAGAATTAAAATACAAAAAGAAAGAAACACCTACAAAAACCACTAGATATCCATGTACTACAATATATGTCTGAGTAGAGCCATCGCTCAAACCATTAATACCTAAAATATCTGAAACTTTCAGGCAAGCTCATGTCAAAAAAAGTTTTTTTTAAAAGGTACGACAATGCTTTGGCTTTTCTTTTTGATATACATATTGAAACAGACTAATACAGCTACTGAAAGCCTGTCAGGTACAATAATTAATTGATTAATTGTTTTTAATTTATGCAAAGGTATGGGATGGTTCAAAGTCTACAAAATTATTTTTAGTCTCTAGAGATGGCAAAGTTCTCCAACAGGAGCCTTTGCAATTGTTCATGCATTCAGTTATTAGGACAGTGTTACATTCAGCTACTTTTCCTCTGTTGGGCATGGAGGCCATTGGGTATATACCATGACAGACAGCTTGTTTAGGCAGCCCAATAGCTGTTTGTTAAAACTAGGCAGGCACAATGCCTCCAATTCTTGCCTAACATTGCTCAAAGGTGTCAGCATATCAAACTTACAAGCTGACAAAAATCAATTACTTCCACTAGTTAAAGTTCTAGATGTATTTCCAAGTAACTGATCATTACTCTGCTAAGTCCTATCAAGTACCCCCACGATCTTTTCTCTAGACGTCTGATGTACTATCTGTTATCTTGAATTGTATCTGATTCCAATAATTAATTGTGTGCTGTCAAGTCAATTCTCACTTCTGGTGACTCTACTCATGGTTTTTTAAGTATGAAGTAATCAACAGTGGTTTAACATTCCCTTGTTCCAGTGTGTGTGTGCTCTGGGAGAGTACAGCTTGCCCAAAACTACACAGGCTGCCTCTTCTCCTACAAAGTACAGTAGGGAACTAAACTCCTGCCCCCTGCCCCAGCAGCTGATACTCCCTCTCACTGAGCTATCCATTGGATTCCAAGCCTATGATGAATTCCAAACTACAAAGAGGCCCAGTTTAAATGAACTTCTCAATGTGTCCACCTTTTCCCTCTAGAATGAGCAAATGGCAAGGTAGAAGGCATACTGTTCCTGCTCCAGTCAGAAGGGAGCAGAAGAAAGGATTTCAACAGGAGCAAGGTGGACAAGGTGAGCTGCCTAAATATCATTGTTCTCAATGGAATCGTTGTCTTCCTGTGCATCTGGCTAAGTCTAAGGTCCTTTTTGTTACATTTTAAAAGTGAAACACCCACAGGTAAAAATGCAACTGATAGTGATATCTATAACACAAAATCTAGACTTTCCAGTCCATGAGGCACATAATAACATTTTAAACAATACCCACCCAAAGCTATACCAATGCTTTGACTGTTAGTAGGGAGGCATGCTGATATGTATTTAAGGATGTAGTTGGGTTAGGAAAACAGGCAGAGAGGCAATCCAGTGAGATGTGAAACTGGCCCATAGCTTTGCAGAGGCAAGACAAACAAAACAACTAAAAGCCAGGAGGTTTGGGTGGAATCTTACTGCCCCTTGTGTCAGCTGATGCATACTGTGCCAGGAGCTGCCAAAATGCCTCTTCCGGTCATCCATAGCAATGGTATTGATGGGTAGTAGAAAATGAGATGCCAGGACAAAGTCAATAGTGGGCAAAATATAATCCTCTGGTTATCTCCTAGGAGTTTAGAATATGGACTGATCTGAGCAACTGGTGTAAATGTAGAAACTGATATAAATATGAAAGACCCTATAGATTGTAACAGATCCCATGCTTGACATGGAGGAGGTTGCAGGTGCAATCCTTTGCATCTCTAGTCAAGCAGGTTCTCAGGCAGAAAGTCTAAGAAAAGAAAGACCTCTGCCTGAAACACAGGGAAGTTGCTAGCAGACAAAGCAGGTGTTGGAAAAGTTACTTGTTGGACTACAGATCCCAGAATCGCCAGGCAATGTGTCCAGTCAGACTAGACTGCGTAGAGATCCATGAACTAAATGGACCATTTCATCACTTCATATATATATATGTCACCTTGCTCCATTCCCTATTTCTTCAGATATACAAATAACAGCATGTCAGTATTTGGTAAATGTGTGCCCTGTACATGCACAATTGCACCCTTTTCAAGAGTGACCTCATGCAAATTGAGCTTGATTGCAATTCCTGTGTGATCATCATGATTGCACATGTGTTAATCTTTAAATGACATTCAAAAAACAGAACTGTCATCCCCTTCTACTCACTGGATGCTTGTTGAGGAAGCTGCAACAGAGAAGAGATACAGGGTGGGGACCCAGATTAGCCTTCCGGAGCATGTGACCTCCTTCTGTCCGTGGCAGTCTTTTGACTGGAGGATGCCATAGGTCCTCTGGATGTAATTCTGGCCCTTATGTGACCCAGAATAATGGTTAATTTCCACTTTCTGCAGCCTGAATGTGTGGGCAGAATCCTTGGAAAGGGGACAGCCACCATGTGAGCTGGAAACTCACTGTGTCTGGTTTAAAAAAGGAGTGTGTGTGTGGGGGGGAAGACTGGCTAAGGGGCAAGGAGAATAACAAATACAGTACTTATTTAATTGAGGCAAGGTTCTGGCATGCTCAAGCGGGCTACAGAAAAGGCCTCTCTGAATCCCACTATATTGGATAATGTAAGTTTCATGTTTGTCCAGAACAGTGACATGCCACTGGATGGACAGTATAAAGTTTCATTCATTCATTCATTCAATCAATATTGCCCAGCTTTCAATTCCTGGTACTCAAGCAATGGATAGCTCTCGGTTCCAGGGGTACCTGGATAAGATGGAATAGATTAATTTTAATTGGGCTTTAGGCCTTGGTATGGGACACAGAATGCCTTAGTCACCTCAGCGGACAATCTACGTGGAGAACTGGACAAGGGGAGTTTGTTTCTCTTGGTTCCTCTGAATCCGGTGGTGGCTTTCAACACCATCAATCACGGTATCACTCTAGACCATCTCTCTGTGATGAGTATTACAAGCATTGTTTACAGTGTCTCCAGTCCTGCCCAAAGGGGTAAAGCTCAAAGGGTCATGCTAGGGAACTCCTCTTTGACGATGGAAACACTGGGACAGACTGACTAGAGTTTTGGGGCTAGGCATGTAAGTGACAACCCACTCTGTTTCACTTTTCCCGAGGGTCATGCTAGGGAACTCCTCTTTGACAATGGAAACACTGGGACAGACTGACTATAGAGTTTTGGGGCTAGGCATGTGAGTGACAACCCACTCTGTTTCACTTTTCCCTCCAAACTCAAACAAGCTATTTCAGTTCTACACCACTACGTGGCATCAGTTATGGACTAGATGAAGGCAAGGAAGCTGAAGTTTAATCCAGTTGAAGGTCAGATCAAGGAACAGGGATCCACCCTGTGACAGATGGGGGTTACCCTGACCCTGAAAACACAGGTTGAAATCTTTAGTGTGCTCTTGGATTCACCTCTGAGCCTGAACGTCCATGTGGCCAGGAGTGCATTTGCACAGTTAAAACTAGTAAAACCTTCTGCACCTGCTGCTGGAGATGTCTCATCTGACCACCGTGATACATGCTTTATTGACATTTCAGTTACTGTAATGTGAACTACGTGTAGCTGTCTTTGGAAACTCTTCATAAACTTTCAGGGGCCCGAGATGCTTTAGCCAGACAGGTGAACAAAGCTGGCTACAGGAAGAACAGAAACTCCCTATAACAACATCTTTACTGCCTTCTGGGAACAATTCAAAAGGTTAGCTATGACCTGCAAAGCACTAAACCATTTGGGAACGGACCACCTGAAAGGGAGATATCCCTAGGTGAGCCACCCCAGGTTTGGGGTGGCTCACCATCTTCTGAGGAAGTCTTTGTCTGTGCCCGACTATCCTCACAGACACACCTGGCAACAACACAAGCAAAGGCCTTTCCTATAAGCTGCAGCAAGGCTGGAGAACTTCCTCCCAGAGTGATCCACTTCTCTCTGTCCTTCCATAGGTAGGCAGAGACCTTTATCTTCAAGCAAGCTTCTGGCAAGGAACTGCCTACTAACGAAAGGGTTTTAATGGAAGGGTCCTGTATTTTTAAATAGCTTTAAATTGTTTGATTCAGTTGTGCTAATGCATACTTGATTGTTGTTTTTCTTAATATTGTGATTGATCGTACCTTAAGTGGAGTTGTCTTTTTACAATTCTGTAAAGTGTCCTGAGTCACTTTCTTAGTAGAAACGTGGGATACAAACAAAATGAATGAGGAGAAACAGTGGAATGCGAGTTGGTGGAGGAGATATTTGTTATCATTTCCTTCTTCATCCCCTAATACTGCGCCCTTCTCCAAATCTGGCAAGAAAGGTGGATCTGGGGCTGCAAGGAGAAGAAGAATCACACACACACACACCCATCCTCCATCAGCAGAAGTGTTTTAAGTGGAATTGTGTTCAGACGTCACTACTGGAACCACACACTTGAGCCATCCCTTGTGGTGCAGCTGCCAAGAATTCATTCAATTCTGCAGCTGTGCTTCAAAACAACTCAATGTGCAAGTATTAGAGGAACACAGCGCATCTCTCCGTATAAATGCAAAAGGCTGCAGCCACTTATTTCTGCACATCCATCTGCTATTAAAAGCACTGGAGCTCTGCCTGTTTCCTTTTCCTTTTAATGGCAACTTGGCAATTATAATGAGTGCTTCACAAAATCAGTCTAGCTCATGACTTAATTCAACCACCAATAGTAGTAGGAAGTACCAGCTTATTATTTCAAGGCAGGTGAGACAAAGGAGGACACACATACCTCCCTTCCAGGCCAAACAACTCCAAGGAGGAGTTTAAAATGAGATTTTAACGGCTAAGCATTTGGGGAGCTATAATTATGGAGAGTTAAAAGTCTGTTTTGTTTCTGGAAGAGTAGTTCCGGTCTCTAGTGTAATATTAAATGCAGCTTGTCCTCTCTAATTACATGTATTGCTAAACATAGCTTTCCCAGGTAACAATACCAGGTTTATCATTACTCTCTGGGAAAGAAATCCACAAAGAAAAAAAAGGACTTAAATATTAAGGATGGGCACAGGGCTTAAGGAATCTGATACTTCCCCCTGTAGTCTTGCACAATGTCTTCCGTTCCCTAATCACTATGTGCCTAATAAGCTTGAATTCTGAACTCTGTGGGGAAATCACCCAGCAAGAACAGCAGGGCAACAGAAATAGCTTGCAGTCGACACTCAAGTATCAGAACTCCTGATCCAGAAAAAGCAGGAACATGCAGCCCGGGCCTCCTCACCTCCTGCCGAACTCTCTAACAAGCTTTGTTCTGAGAATTTGGGAGGGTTGCTTGGGGCCCATTGGTTTCTTTCAGGTGAGACAGGGATGGGTATCTGTGGCTTTCCAGATGTTGCTGGACTACAACTCCCAGCATCCCTCAGCAATGGCTATGTATAACTAGCACTGATGGGAGGTGTAGTTTAAGAAAACCTTCCCTCAGCAATGGCTATGCATAACTAGGACTGATGGGAGGTGTAGTTTAAGAAAACCTGAAGAGCCACACACTCCCCACCCCTTGCTTTAAGCTCTTCTGCTACCTGACCTATACTTACAATTACTGGCCTGTATGAATACTAATTCTACCCAACTACCCTTCGATACTGGCATATAAATTAAGATGCACATGATCCTACCAAAGACAATCAGTTCTCCTCAATGTTCTGGAGACTGGCAGCCATGCACTACTCCATAGCTGTTCTGAGGTCAATCCCACTGTCCTTGGAATCTCAAAACCTCTGATTATGATGCTCAGTCTCCCCTTCTTGCCACTAAACTCGGTTCCCTTCTACTGGGCAAGAAATACCAACAAGAACAACAGAGCTCAGAGAAGCTCTAAACTTATAGGGCAGGGATTGGAACATCTATGACTAGTGGCACTTAACTGCCTGCCCCCACCCCCAGAAGAGTTGCACCTTCCTGCTAACACACAGCCAAACTCTGGGAACAGCCACAACAACGCCACATTTTCATTTAATTAGGGCATTTGGGGGGGAACTGCACACTTTACTTTTAAGCCAAACTGTGCTTCTGAGAGGCCACTCTTCTTTTCTCACCACACCAGCCAAATCTGGCAGTGTGGCAATATTTCTGATGACAATGGGGGCTACTGAAAAGGGTGAAGAACAGTGGCAAACATTTGCCCAACCTTATGACACCACTTGATTGGGAATAAGCCCCACTGGAATTTTTGGATCTTTCTTCTGAGCAGACAAACTGAAGATTACACTGCACATTTCTGGAGAGAATTTGTATCACCTACAGAGGCACACAACGTTTTCTCACTCACACACGCTGCTCACAGCCCAGCTCTTTCTTTGTCCCATTATTTCATAGGGATACAATTTATACTGGCTACTGCCTGCGGCAGAGGTGGGGAACCTGCACTCAAAATCAGCAGGTGAATCAAGTCTGGTCCTTTCCCTGACTGGCACATCATCTGTTAGTTTAATTCTGTGTCACATCTGAAACCTTGCCAAGGTGTAAATCATATGCTGCAAATAGTCTTGGAGCTCCCCTGCCAGCCAAACAATCATTCTCCCCACTCAGCAAATGTGAACACACACTTCCTTCTTCATGTGCATCACCAAACTGGAAAACAGAGCAACGTGATGCTAAGCTACTTCCCCTGAGTCGGCACGTACCTTTCTGGCATGCTTCTGCACTCTGACTGTGCCACCCTGTGTTCTGGACAGCAGAGGCTGATCTGTGGGGAGCTGGTGGCTGGACAGCTTTGCCTTTGGATAGCAGGTTGGAGTAGATGAACTTTGGTTCCTTCCAACGCTATGGTTCTATAAAGCAGGAAGTAAGGGGAGGTGTCGATAGTAGGCAAGAATAAGCAAGTGGACTGTGCACCCACTTTCTGGCACCCTTAGCATAGGCTAGCTTGGACAGAAATACAACACATTTTGCATTTTCAAAATAGGTCAGGAACGCAATAAATGCATAGGTAAAGGTAAAGGTTCCCCTTGACAATTTTTGTCCAGTCGTGTTCGACTCTAGAGGGTGGTGCTCATCCCCGTTTCCAAGCCACAGAGCCAGCGTTTTGTCCAAAGACAATCTTCCATGGTCACATGGCCAGTGCGACTTAGACACGGAATACTGTTACCTTCCCACCAAGGTGGTCCCTATTGATCTACTTGCCTTTGCATGCTTTCTAACTGCTAGGTTGGCGGGAGCTGGGACAAGCGACGGAAGCTCATTCCGTCGCATGGATTCGATCTTACAACTGCTGGTCTTCTGACCCTGCAGCACAGGCTTCTGCGGTTTAGCCCACAGCGCCACCACGTCCCAATGAATGCATAAACAACCATTAAAATCCACTCATTCAAAGTATAGGTTGCATGATCAGGTTTTTGCTCTCATGAACAGAGAGAACAGAAATATTGCTGAGATTTTCAGAGGAAAGTGATATATCTCACACACTGCTGTTCAGATACATGACAAGCCATGTGATGCAGGTACCCAGCATGATGTAGTGGATAGAAGGTAAGACTAGGACTCTGGAGAGCAGGATTTGAATCCCCACTTCACCATGGCAACTCACTGAGGGAGTGGAACTCATTAAACCATTCCTTAAAATCTCACTTACCTTGAAAGCCCTATTAGGGTCACTCTAAGTTGGTTCCAACTTGACAGCACATAACTAACTATTAATGTGATATAGAGGTAAGAGTGCTGGGCTAAGACCTGAGAGATGCAAATTCAAGTCTCTTCTGAGCCATAAATCTCACTGGGTGACTTTGGGCCAGTCTCTCTCTCTCTCTCTTTGCCCCACCCTAATCAACCGCACAGGTTTTTAGTAAGGATAACACAGAGAGGAGAAGAGTGGCCCTGAAGTCACTGAAGGAAAGACAGGATGCAAATATAGTAATTAAGTAGCTAATCACTAAATAAAATTTTACTGTGCTGAAGTAGCAACTGGACAGTGAAGGGCACTGTCAATCCAAACTAGTCACAAAAAAACAGGGCAAGGAAAGGTGTGGCTAAAACTATATGATGCAATAGCAGCCCTCAGCACCATTCCAGATTGAAAGCAATTATCGTTAGACTTGCGGTCTGAATTCCAGTGTCACATCAAGCAGGAGCTGCAAAAGATCAGGAAGAGAAGTGGAAAGGTTTTTGCTGTTCTTCGCCATTCATGAAGAAATACAATAAACTGCACCTAAAGTCAGCTAACGACAGCTGATTGTGTGATGTTTGTTTTATTGCTACCAAAACATTGAAGGGGGATATGAGTTTAAGGTATGAAATTGTTAGAGCACATCTACATTCATTTAAAAATGTACACCAGTTTCGAATCTGCACACCTGCCAAGTCTTTTGACCAAATGAACTCTTACAAGAAACTACAGTTCCTTGAAGAACCTACAGGTTTTTCATAACCAATCCAGATTTGAGAAATGCCATAGGATATGAAAGACTTTAACCAGTTTTGCAAAACTAAATTGCACATAATGACATTACACTATACACTATATTACACTATACAGTGTATAGTTATGTTCTGTGTTTTGATCAATGTTTCTTGAACTGCATAGGCACATCTCAGAAAAGGCCACCTTCCCTGTATCTTTTAAGCACTCTGGAGAACATTTTTTAAAAAGTGCACAGATGGCTTGCAGGTGGAAGCGTGGGATGAGGGTTTGTACACTTGGATGACCCTGCCTCAGGGCAAGACTTGATCCACCATTGCCAAACCTTCCTATATCTTCCCTTACAACACTCAAAATATAACTAACCAGCTGCCTTTTGGGGGGGGGCAATGTTCCCACCACTAGTGTTGAAGAAATATTGAGCTGCCAGTCTTGCCAGCTTTTGTGCATGGAATAAGAAAGGGTATCATCATTCCTTCCCTCAGACTGCAAAGAGGTTTGGATTGGTGCTGGGAGTTGAACAAGCTTCCTGGCCTTCACAACATCTCCATATGAATTGATTCTCAAATCCACCCCCTCCAGCTGTTTTGGATGTCAACTTCCAGAACCTCTCACCCCTGGCCATGCTGTCTGTGGCTTCTTGGAAGTTGGTCCATACAGTCTTAATGTCTGCAGTTATGACCAAACTGGTCTTCCAGGGGAGTCTCTCTGGATGCTATTACTAGTTAGCTAAGGTTGGTCAATATATTCTGTTGCTTGAAGACAAAACCTGAGAAACAAATATTTCCATCTCTGGTAGGCCCTGATTTCTACACAGAAGTATTGCCCCTTTCATGACCCCCACAACAGCAGCCTGAGGCAGCTCAGCCGAGGCTGACTAATGTCACCAAGAAACTCCCCACGAAAGTTCCAAGGACTCCCACTGTTTCCACTCCAAAAATTACCTTCAGACAGTTGGACTAGATGAGAGAGAGAGAGAGAGGGAGAGAGAGAGAGAGGGAGAGAGAGCATTTTGCTCATCAAGCCTTGGAGAAACAAACACACACACACACACCTCCTTGCAACAGCCAGATGGAGAGGAAGCAGGCTGTGTCTTCAGAGGAAGATGTTGGACTTGGTAACTAATAAGGTTCACTGTTTAAGAATCTTTAGAGATTAAGGCTTACAACTAAGTTAGGCTGCTTAGGAAGGCTGGAGGTTTACATTTAAAGTACTGTGTACACACTTAATGAAAATGAAAGTACATGTGTTCACATCCCAGACAGGCTGTGGGATTCAGACCCAAATGTGCCGACTTGTAAAACTACTTGAAATAACTACAGCGGCCAATGACTTCACTGAAACCCCTTTGCTTTTATTTTCGTCTTCCCAACATTTAGTGCCTGCAATAATTTACAAAATGACCAAGGGGCAAGTACAAAACCATACTGGTATTCCTGCCAACCATTCTAAAATTGCTGGAAAATAACACGTATGTGTGTGAAAGGATGAGCCAATGCTAATTATATTTTCTTCCCTTGAAGTCCACCACAGAAGTTGAGCTGTTATTTTGTGAGGGTAAATAATTTAGAAGATCCTGGGACACTTACCACACTCAAGCCTTGTTCAAATATAAACCCTGCAAATTACATTGTGCTTTACCACAAATTCCCTCCCATGTGGCCACAAGAAGTACAGCGGGAGGTGGGTGGCAGACTACTTATTAACCACTGCAGGATGTAGTAAGAAGCAGTTGCTCAAAGAGGAGGCATAGAGGCAAGGTTGCTGCTGGTAAGCGAGTAATTACCCAGCACAGAAGCAAGCTCTAAACTTTACACACACACAGCACTTTATGCTATATCATAGAAAAGTGAAGTTGGAAAGGGGCCTACAAGGACATCAAGTTCAACCCCCTGCTGAAGGCAGGAATAAAATCAAAGCATATCACTTTTTATCTCTTAATTATGTCAAACCAAGGGACTCAGGCAGCAATCTCATTTTAACAACGCAGGAGCCTTGCATGATGATAGGTTTGCCTGAGAGATGACCACTGGCCCAGGGTTACACAGGGTGGCTGAGTCGGAACTCTTTGGGGCCACAATCTTCCTTCCCTCCCAAGGGCACAGTTTCATGCAGTTTCTCTCAGCTTGCTCTCTGGGATGACTGGCAGCATCTATTTCAGCTTGTAGGAATGCAACCCACCAAGGCATAGGTGAGTCCCTGGTGACCTCCCCACACCAAATTCGCATCTCACTCTCATGCTGCTGTAAGACTGCCTTTCAGCATTTTGAGAACATTGCAGAAAAATGAATTTTATCTAAGAAAGACTTTGCTGTGTTGTCTTTGTAGAGAACAAGCCACCAGGAATGCTATTTGGAGTTTACACTAAAATGTTAAGAAAAGCCTAAATAACTCACTGTCTACATAACCATGTTCCGTTCACGACTGATTAAAAAAAGCGCCAAAAGTAAGAAAAATGAACCAGAGTCCAATCTTGTGCAGGTTCACTTAAGAGGATGTATCAATTCATGCAATGGATTTGACTTTAAAGTAAACCGTCACAAGACTGGCTGCATAAGATCACTTAGAAAAATGCCATGCGGAAAAACTCGGCATTTCTGTTCCTAGAAAGAACCCAACCTCCCCTCCCCACTTTAATACCAAAGTTTATTTTTAAAGAGCTTGATCCGATTAAACCCTACTGGGTGGGGAGGGGGGGAAAGGAAAGCGGGCAGACCCAACGAAACTTACGTCCTCCGAAGCCATAGGGAGCCCATCCTCGGTTTCCAGGACTTCGATCGCTTCTGCTTCGGCGCTGGCAGCCACCGCAGGCGACCGGTTGGTCACACGAGCTGCCTCGGGCGGCACCCCGTCTCCCATGCTTGGGGGAAGCCGCCGGCTCCTCCTCCCCCGCCGCCGCCCTCCACCGTTTCGGTCGCTCCTCTCGAGGCGGGCGGGGAAGAGAAGCAAAATCAATGCCACCT